TGACCTGGTCTGGGGTTTGTTGTATTTATATTTTAAGTTTTTTGGGGGGCAAATGTAAAGGCCCTTCAACCGAAACGAAAAGTGAACATGAAAACTGTTTAAATAAACTTTATTCTAAATGATCTTTACAAATAAAAAAAAAGAAAACTAACGTTAACAAACGAGACATTATTATAAAGTGTCAACGACTAAAGTTTGTTATTTTCAACATTTTACTGGAACATGACATTAGTCAAAGCAAAAGATGAATCTGTTAATATTTTTTAATGGACCTGAGCTAGCATGAACTAACAATGGACACATGTATTTTGTTGACAAATATTTCAGTAACAAATGCATTAGCAAAAGTTAATTAATATGACTTCCTTTTAAAATGTTACCGGAATATGGAACATTAGAGAAATGAATAGGGTATGGTTATGTAAAATGGGTTGTAAATAGCAAGTAATATGTATGAAAGAGCATTCCTCTGCTGTCAGGACTGACAGGGTTTGGGCAGAAATCTAGCGGGATGGATAGAGTTACAGCTACTTAAGAGTTGTCAGTCAGCTTGGTGCTGATAAACTTTGGCCCTTCCTGAAGTCTCACATAGTTAGTGCCATCAGAAAAAGAGAGAAAGTATGGGAAACAGAGGGCGAAACAGGTTGGAATGCAAATGGCCTTTGGGAAATAGTTTCTCTCTTCATTTGGTATTCCTTCAGTATATTTGAAAAGGAAAGAAAAGAAATACATGAAAAGAAATGTGAGGTAGTGTGTCTGGATACTTCGGGGTAAGCTGTGCCACTGGCCAAACTAATAGTATTATATACTAAAGCTTTCATTTACATATTTTGTGTATGCTAGTTTTACTTTTGTTTTATGATTGTATGAAGAAAAAGAATATTATCATTTTTTTTGACAACATAATTTTGTTTAGTATTTACACTTTTGCAGACACAATCATATAACTTATATTAAATTAATTGTAAATTGTTTCTCAGGCAGAATGTGATGAATTTTTAACCTGCTAATTCCATTATGCTAATACAGCTAGCTAGCTAAACGGCTGTCAGGGGTCAAAGTGTTACAACCATCCCTTTTCATACAACTAAAAATAGTTTATTTTTTAATAATCTTACAGTGGAAAAGAAAGACCGATGTGTGCCAGCCAGTGATAAAACAATAAGGAACTGATGAGATTTCAAAGAAAAAACAGATCAGTCAGTTGCGAAGACGAAGTTTAAAGCCAGTGGTGAGGATTCTGAGACGTCGGACAATGAAAACTCAAAGATAAGGACGTGTGGGTAAAAGGTGCCCTATGCAGTCGAGTGTTCATCAAGCTGCTAAGGAAGTTTTTTCTAGATTAATTTACAGACAAATGCACAAACAGAAAGTGGATTTGAGCTGTGGTCAATCACAGGAAGAGAGACATTGTTTTCTATTATTCTTTTGATATAAACCTATTTTTGAAGCATATTTCATGCTGTGGCCACGGCTTCTTGTGTGGTTTGTGAATTGTTACAACTTACCCCAGCATGTGTTACCCCGGCAGAGATTTGAATTGATGCCTATTGCAGTAAACAAATCGGTGCATTCTAGCTCAAAAATTCAGTGAGTTACTGATGCTGAAGCAAAAAGTGTGACAGCCATAACTCCCATCTCCGATCTCCCTCTATAGTTGAGACACAGTAAAATATAATGTACGATTGTCTGTATTTTGTGAGGCAGTTTCCATAGCTTTTAGCGCCATCTATTGGCATATTTGTTACCTCAGGTTCAAACAAAAGGATTTAGGAAGGAACAGTTCAATTCAAAATGAAAATTCTGTCATCATTTACTCACTCTCAAGTAGTTTTAAACCTGTATGAGTTTCGTTCTTCTACTGAATACAAAGGAAGATATTCTGAAGAATGTTGGTAACCAAACAGTTGATGGACACCATAGACTTAAGTCTCTTTAAGTCTCTGATGTATATTTTCAGGAGTATTTCTGTCTCCCTTAAAAGAGTCTTAATTTTGTGGTTTTGATGCATTTCTGAACCATGTATGGTCTCAACAACTGAAGTGTTGGTGTGTCGTTTGGTCTCTGGTCTACTTGTAGTATACCAAAAGTGATAATTACCACAACCACTGCTTAGGGTGGTATTTTTCACTCTGCACAAGAGAAAGTAGTCATCACAGGAGTTAAAACTGAAGAAAAAACACACACATTAGCTTCAGTTCATCAAAGTTGTCATCCTAATCCTTAAATCAACACGCATGGCTCTGAGCCTCAAGTGGTCTACTGGTCTGAATCAGTCTGGATCATGGGAGGGTCCCATGATCTCTATTGACTCAGCTCCTTTTTTTAAGAACTTGACCTCTCTTACTGTTTGGGTGTTAGTTCACCCAAAAATTCACCCCTCATGTCAAATTTTCTGAAGAGACTCATTCACTTTATATGACAAACAGATTGAATTAGTCTTTAATTTACAAATTAACATTAATCAGCAAGAACTAACTTCATTGGTTCTTGCAGAAGCTCAAACGTGCTTCGTAACATGAGAATGACCCTCATTGGCTCTTGCTAAAGCTCAACGTGCTGCGTAACACGAGAATGAACCTCATTGGTTCTTGCTGAAGCTCAAACGTGTTTCGTAACACGAGAATGAACCTCATTGGTTCTTGCTGAAGCTCAAACGTGTTTCGTAACACGAGAATGAACCTCATTGGTTCTTGCTAAAGCTCAAACGTGCTTCGTAACACGAGAATGAACCTCATTGGTTCTTGCAGAAGCTCAAACGTGCTTCATTACACAAGAATGAACCTTATTGGTTCTTGCTAAAGCTCAAACGTGCTGCGTAACACGAGAATGAACCTCATTGGTTCTTGCAGAAGCTCAAACGTGCTTCGTTACACAAGAATGAACCTTATTGGTTCTTGCTAAAGCTCAAACGTGCTGCGTAACACGAGAATGAACCTCATTGGTTCTTGCTAAAGCTCAAACGTGCTTCGTAACACAAGAATTAACCTCATTGGTTCTTGCTAAAGCTCAAACGTGCTTCGTAACACAAGAATGAACCTCATTGGTTCTTGCTAAAGCTCAAACGTGCTTCGTAACACAAGAATGAACCTCATTGGTTCTTGCTAAAGCTCAAACGTGCTTTACAAGAATGAACCTCATTGGTTCTTGCAGAAGCTCAAACGTGCTGCGTAACACGAGAATTAACCTCATTGGTTCTTGCTAAAGCTCAAACGTGCTTTACAAGAATGAACCTTATTGGTTCTTGCAGAAGCTCAAACGTGCTTCGTAACACAAGAATGAACCTTATTGGTTCTTGCAGAAGCTCAAACGTGCTTCCTAACACAAGAATGAACCTTATTGGTTCTTGCAGAAGCTCAAACGTGCTGCGTAACAGCCTAAATTCAATGTGTTTATTATATAAAGTGAGTCTCTTCATAAAATTTGGACTAAATGACTCCTTTCAAATGGATTTGATTTACAAACTCTTTATGAACTTTTTGAAGCATCATAGTTGCGTAGCTGTCAATGGATGGACAGAAAGCTCTCAGATTTCATTAAAAATATCTTTATTTGTATTCCGAAGATGAACGAAGGTCTTGATGACATTATGAGTAGCCTAAGTAGTGAGAATTTTCATTTTTGGGTGAACTCATTTAAAAAATAGCAGTGCAACATATGAGCAGATTCTCATCATTATAATTTAATTGACATTAACAGTATATATTGTCTAAATCCAGGCACACTTACTGTTGTGAAAGACTCAGTTTAAATGGTTAAGGTAGGTTTGGTCAAGTGTGATTAAGATCATTAATGGCATGAGCGATTTATTGCTTGATGAAATTTAGCCTAGTAGTATGACACGTAATTAAACACATTTTAACAGGTCTTGATGAATCTTGCATGGTTAAGAAGATAAGAATAAGATATGTGAGTGAAATTTAAAGATGCTATTATGTAAAGCATCAAACAAATATGTTTAAAACGACGAACGTTCACCACTAAAACATCTCCGGTGATATCTGGCGCCATCTAGCGGTAAAGCCACTGGACCTTCAAGTCTCTTCAAGGAATGAATGACTTACTTAAATCATTTGCTTTGCAAAGTGTAGCTCCTGTAATCTTATCAGTAAAGAATGTATTGATTCTTGTTTTAAAGGAGATTATTGATTAAGTCTAGCAGTCAAAGGTCTCCCTCATGGGCCAAGAGTTCGAGAGTTCTGCTCGTCATGTTTGAAAAATGTAAGTAAAACTTGTGGCATATTACATTTCTATATCCTTTTTTTTTACTGTTTATACTTATGAATTTTTATTTAAGTAGTTACTATAGCTATTGTTGCATTACATAGGCTACAATTAAATGCAGAACATAAACAAAATGACATGAGAGTCTAAAAACCTCTCACACTCTTTCTATGTATTTAACTTATTGTGATTTTACAGTAGTAACTAAGGTGTTTTGGCCTAAAATCTGGTTGTTATTTTCATTTTATTTTATTCGAAACAGAATACGTCTCTCCGTTTAACTGTTTCAATATTAAACAGTAAACATGAACTAACTTTTTTATGAATGGATATACTGTATAATATTACTAATACAATAATGATGAAGTATAATTGATATGACTTCAGTTGGTGTGGTCCGTACTCAATTTTCAATATATTTTTTAAATAATATTTATGTAATTGTATTATGAGGGATAACAGATAGTGCAAATAGATATTTGCCATTTTAATCACATCTTCACTGGTTCACTAGTAATTTGTCACGCAGTGTCCAAGTATCCAAATATTCATATTTAATATAGACTAGTCGCACAACAATTAATATAAAGGCATAAATATGCATGTAATATTATAAATGATAATAACAATAAGTAAAAGTAAAAAAAAAAAATGCATTGTCGTCACGTATTCGTCACGTCAGCTGCCCAAAAACCATGCATGTCAATTGCATTATAGTAACAAATAGACAGTGCTGCGGCCCCTTTAAGAGATCAGTAGACTCGTTTAAGAGATCTGCCAGTCTGCTGTGTGTGTGTTCAGTGACATCAACAACACACGCAGATCCCTGTTCTCTGGAGGGGGGACTGACATTAACTCGCACACAATAAAAGCTCCAGGGACATCGTGCGGCTCTTTTTCAGACAGCAGAGGGGAAGCTGGGATATATTTGCAGCAGGTGTTCCTGAAGGATCTATCACAGACTATAGCAGGGTTCATGAAACTTTGCTACGATTTGCGAGCTAGGTAAGCTGACCTTTAAACAGATTCAAGACGGCAACAGGCGATGTACAGTTATGTCTTCTTCACCGCTGTCATAATTCATAGAGATAGCCCATTTCTATTCAGAATTTCTGTTCTTGAAAACGAAGCTATCACGGACAGTGTCGCACTAAGAGCTCGCTAATTTAAATAGCTTGTATACGTCATAATCTAATGTGTCATCATGTCTTTGTTTAATGTGGGGTTTAATGCGCGGCCGTTATTCTGTCAGACACGCCGATCAAGGGACAAAATGTATTATTCTGTGGAGAACGGATAGATTGTGTCCACACACGACATGTAGACGGCCTAGAGAACATGCGTATGATATTGATGATGATGATGATGATGATGGAGGAGGAGTGAAAGTTGTTAACGTTACATTTGTCAGTGATGTTTCAATAATTGTCGCGTGACTCGCGTGATGTTCAAGTGAAGTCATTCACTCATCATTTAACGTTACTGATTCATTGATCAACTGATTGTTCCGTTTAGGTATGATCACTCGCATAGGCGGAGTTTCGTTTTTGTGCTGATTATAATAATTCGAATATTAAAGGAATTGAACAATTAAAGGATTAAAATGGATATAAGGGAGTGGTAACAAGTTCTACTGCCTACTGGTCAAATTTTAGTTCACCTAGATATGAAAATTGTGTCATTGACTCACCCCCAAGTTGTTCCAAACCTGTATGAGTTTCTTTCTTGTGCTGAACACAAAATAATATATTTTGAAGAATGTTGGTAATCAATGTTGGTTGCCTTTGACTTCCTTAGTATTCTTTTCCTACTATGTATGGAAGTCAGTGGTGTCCACTAACTGTTTGATTACTGACCGTTTTTCTTCAGAAGGAAGGAGCTCATATTTGAAACAACTTGAGGGTGAGTTGCCTAAATTATTTTTGATGAGCTATCCCTTAAACTATTTGAAAATATTATTTTATTTAAAAAATGTGCACACATTTACTCTTATTCGTATGTCTAATATGTCGAAAACACAAACGTTTCTTGTGTCATCACATTAATTTATGGCGAAAATGGCGAAATTTCATAAAAAGTTGAGTAGTTTGCATTACTAGATATTTTATTTCTGGTGGTCGCTGAACATTTCTATTGTAAAACAGTTCTTTCCACTAACTCTCATTGCAGCAACTGTATAAGACTGTAAAAAAATTATTTGATTTGATTGGCCGTCTCGATCATTTTGTTACAGGCAAAGCAGCCTAAAAACGTTATCAGCTTTAACTTAAACTTTTGTCATCCAAACAACACACAGATTTACTCATTCTTCACAAAAATTATAAGAAAAGACAAAAATTAAATGGGAAGATCTGAATTCTATTATTATTTAATTATTTTATTCAAAATCATTGTCCATCGATGCCTAGATTCATTTATTGATTGAGCCACTGATTAATTTATCCATTGTGAAATCAACGTGAATTTCATGAAAATAAACCGATTCAATAAACATTCAGCAAACTATTGAATCAATGGTTAATTCAATAAAATAATCTGAATCGTTGAGGTCAATCGATCCATTGAGTGCTTGATTTGTTGATTCATCTTTAGATAGATTCAATGATCTATCGAGTCACTGATTCAAATCAACTGAATCATTAAAATCAGCTGAATCATTGATCTTTTGAATCATTGGTGAATTCAACTTTTGATTAACTGATTCGTGGATTTAGTAATTGTTTAACTATTAGTCACTGATTCATGTATCCATTGAATCACTGATTGATTCAGTCATTCTCAGATTCAGCTGTTTTCTCAAGCAATGATCGGTGTAAAAGCAGGATTCCTGCACTGAGAGAGTTTATGTAGGCAAGTAGCACCTGTAGCTTTGAACTCCGAGAATGACTAATTCTCAAATAAAGAAGATTTAATCTCTCTCTCAGATATATGAATAGATAGTGTTCAGATTAATTAGAATAATTCAGAGGACCTCGGTGGTGGATATTCATGTTTAGAGATCTGTGGGTGGTCACATTTTTTTCCGCCTTGTGTACTTGATTAGAGACTTCTGCAGCTCACACAGCATGCAGAATCACAATAACAGCCAAATATGATTTCATAATAATAAGCACAGAGAGCTCTCAAACCAATCCCTGTTCAATAATGTAATTCCAGAGAGGGACGGTTACAATTGAATCTCCTGTCCCCATTGTTTTGTTTGTCTCTCATGGCTCTATGCCATTATTTTCTCTACGTAATACCTTTTTATTCTTATCGTGTCATTTAAAAAGTTTTCAAATGCTGTTATAATTGACTCGTCCTCAAGTTCATATTCAACACCTTTATGACTTTCTTGCTTCCGTGGAAAAAAAAAATGTTTTTTAGGCTTGAGCAGAAGTGAAATGTAGAAAAGAATAGGTGTTTTTTTCATGGTTTTTAGGGTTTTGGAGTTCATATGATTACATGATGACGGGTTTTTTGAAACCGTTTCAAAAAGGGTTGCCCAATAAATTCTGTGGGAAATCCACATATGACACTTTCTCCTAAACAACTGTGGTCAGTGATTCTTGCTCAAAACCAAACCATTTCCAACCATTTGGGATGATTAGAGATTTCTTCTTGCCGTTGGTCTTCAGAACAAAACAGCAGATAGATTCCCGTTCGTGTTAAAAGTTCAGCCAGAGACTACTGAGAATATTAATTCACGTGTTTTTGTGAAAGACCTGAGAAAATAAGCACGTGTGTCCGAGAGGTGACTTCAGGGTAAGCTATGATTATGATATTTCGGAGAGGAGACACATTTAATCAAGGGTTGTGTTATTAATGAAATCAAAACAGTGTGTTGGTGGCGTGCATCATTCATTATAAAAGCTTCAGGTTGTTAATTATTTAATCAGCTCATTAATGTCAAGTGTATAAAACATTGCTGTTGAATAAATACATAGTTATGTTATGATGGTGTATGATTTTTTAGTTGCTTCAGAATGTTTTAACTTTTGATAGAGGATGGTCCTGATTTAAGGCATGAGATAATCTCATGAAAATCTGAAATCAAATAAACACTACACAGCACTAAAACTTTTGTCAGTTGACACGAGTATCAGTCAATGCCTGTAATCTCAAATGAGCCACGAATTGGCTAATTAATGGGATTGGATGATATATATCGGCCTGTCAGTGCTATTGACTTACTGTGATAAAGCCACTTTGCTTCTTCATTATGTGGAAGTAAGCTTTCCAGTGGGTTGGCAGTGAACACCTGTGTTCTTTTTTAAGGCCAATTCACATCGCACAGATAAACGCCAACAAGTTGGCAGTTGGTTTTAGTATTTTATGAAAAATAACTGTCATGTTCACACTGCCTCTATAGACCTCTTTTACGGCGACGTCACAGTCACGTCACGGCGCTAGCTGGAGGCAAAACAAAGTGAAAACTGGAGGCGGCCAATACAAACCAGCACAGATTTGGCTACATAATGAGCTTAAATTATTGTTGCTATTATTAAATGTCATGTTGTTGTGTTGTTTGGTGCAAGAATTGATGAAAAATGAATGTGCTGAATCTGGAATTTTTATTTCTAGAAAATATTCACATCATTAAAATCGCACCGTAATGTCACTCTTTACATTGTCGTCGTCTCGGCGCTGGCTCGGCAGAACTGCGAATCATACACACAAGTCCTAAAGATTTATATGCCCTCAGTTTCTCTTTACGATCAGTTTCTCTATAAGGTAGGTGTAGAAGTCAGGCCACTCAACCGAGGTAACGTAACGTTAATCCTGTCAGATCGTCCATGCATTGAGTGAGCGTGTAGGGGTCGGCCAATCTGGTTCCGTCCTTTAAAGATAACTTTTGGAAATAACAATTGCAGTCCTGGACAATGAGTGACCTTACACATTAAGTTAAAATCAGATTTTCTCCAGTCATTGTTAGGGTTGGGTATCGAGAATCGAGTATCGATTGGAACCGAGACTAACTTTTCGTTTTTCCCGGAATCGTTCAAAAGTTAAAATTTCAATTTCGATATTCAAAGTCCGCCGAGCGGAAGAAGAAACCGCTGAACAACACCAACGAAGAAGCGTCTACCGGAAGTGTTGGCATAACCGCGCGAGTCGAACATGAGTACCTTACGTCGGCGATCCAAAGTGTGGCTTCACTTTTCTAAAAATTAACGAAATCTCGGCAAAATGCAAAATTTGTGACAAGTATTTGTGACAGAAGGAGTATTTCCTTCAGAAAGGCCGTTGGTTAGCAAGGTTAGCTAAACTTTTTTGACCCTGCCTCTTAAAAGAATCGGAATTGAGAATCGTTAGGAACCGGAATCGAAACAAGGAATCGGAGTCGGAATCAGAATCGTTCAAATTCAAACGATACCCAACCCTAGTCATTGTTAAAAAAACAAGCTAACAATACTTGCTAACTAGCGTTAGTGAAGCGGCCAGAGGGATCGTTCTGCCTCCACCTAAGCTCCGCCCACAAAAAACCGTCACCATGTTTACCAACTGAAAAGGGGTCCATAGACACCAACAAACACTGAATGAACAAGGTCAGTCAGGTGAAAACAAACTCTGACCAACGCCGACTGGGGTAACAAACTGACCAGACAAAACCCAACAAACGTGTTTGTTGGTGTTTGTCTAAGCAGCGTGAATTGGCCTTGAAATGGAACTATTTATTCTCTCCTGTGTGATTTCTTACTTTGAAAGTTCCCTGTTAAGTTTGTACATTTTGTCCTTACTTTGTCATACTTTGTTGATTCTGCAGGGCTGCCATACACAATGTTAAGGTAAAGCCTAAAGCAGCTGTGTTGAACATGCTAAAGAGGCTGGACAAAATAAGATTCCGCGGTCCAAAGCGAGATGACTTCCTGGATCTACCCGAGTCCCCGACGGGGTCGGACACTGAATGTAGTGATGACATGCTACTGAGACCTCGACCTTCAATACGAGACAATGATGAGCAAAGAGACCCTGTAAGTACTTTAATTACAGATGTTCTCATTTCATTTGGCAACTTTGTTAAGAATAGGGGCTTTCGCATTGGTGGAACCTTTTCATAGTTCCTAAAACTATTGGCGGAAGAACCCAAATTTTGGCGTGTTCGCACTGAAGGAGCTAGGAATGATTTTAGTTCTAGAAACTCCTTTTAGAAAAACTAATTTAGCTCCTACTTCAGAGTCAGGTCCAATCCAGCACTATAGGAACTACCAGTGACATGAGTGTACGGCCGATTGGCCGAACGCACACGAAACACCAGCACCCGCCATTTTTAAAAAAGCTGTGTGAACACACAGATTATAGCCTATATATTTACTCCACAAACTAACATGGACAACAGTGATAGATGAGCCTACGCAACTTTGAGGGGACAAAGTTCCTATAACTAAATTCTTACAACTACCCGGTGCGAAAGCCCCTTATGAAGTACTTGTTTAGGAATTTCTGTATTGGCGCCTTCATTTCCTTTTCCACTACACAGTACCAGCTTGACTCGACTCGGCTCGGCTCGCCTTTGTTTGGTTTTCCACTATGTAAAAGTTGCACCTGTACCTGCTTTCGGGTACTTTTTTTGTACCACCTCCGGCGAGGTTCTGAGCGAGCTAAGGCGATACTAAATTGTTACGTGAAAACAATGCCGACTGCTGATTGGTAAGAGAGAATCGTCACCATTCACTGCGTCATCATTACACGCGCCAGATGGAGTATCCAGAATAATTGAATAGTTTGGCCAGAGACAGTTACTAAACTAGCTACTAAACTGGCAACTCGGAAGAATACGCCATGGTCAAACAAAGAGGTGCAGACTTTCCTTTGTTTGGTTGCCGAAGAGAGGATCCAGTGAGAGCTTGATGACCGGCGTCGCTATGATGACCGGGTATTGTTTGTGTCGGTACTGTCTCCAATGGAAAACTGAGCGAAAAGCGAGTTGAGTCGAGTCGAGCTGGTACTGGTAATGGAAAAACGCCATATGTTAGTTATTATAGAAGGTCCGTTGCAAAACCTATAATGAGCCTACCTAGGAATAATATGTTTGCTTCCCACACAAAAGATAGGTAGCAACATTATGCTGTCTTCTAAGGTACATGTAATGTTTGGCCGTATGACTTGGACTTGGGTTCTCATTTTGGGCCCTTAGTTTAGCTCTTTGCTCAGCCAACACTGGTTAAATGTCCGTTACCAAATATTCTATACCACAAAAGTCAGAGGAAAACTGTGTAGGCTTATTTTGCCAATTGTACCCTTTTGAGAGAAGTTATTGCGCTGATGATTAACATAATTCATTCAGCATTGGAAAGTATCAATAAAAATGCACTGTTTATTACCTGGTAAAAGTTTGATAATGTCAGCATATTGACATGCTGATGGTAAATTGAAATCAATTGTGAGTTAAGTCCACAGGGCTCTTTGTATGGCATGTGGTGGTGTTGTTGCCTATGTACAGCTTTTATAATCATTTGAAGATTGATGGCTACTAGAATGTTGCACAAATTTCGAAAACATTGTGTATCAGTTTTCTCTATTAAAATTGTGCTTGTGATGAATCTATTTTAGGGTCTGACCTTTTCACATTAACTTATTCGTTATCTTCCATAATGTTGTAAATATCTCTGTTGTCTCATTCGCCTGGTTAAACTTTGTTGATATGCAGGGAGCAAGAAATGCAGTCCTTGTTACTGTCATCCTGCAGCCGAATGATGCTTTAATGCACTCCTGTTAAAACCAGACACTGCTGCTTCAGTCTGGTACCTTTTCATTTCACAGATGCTTCATGGAAGAATTCCTTGCCGTAATCGTGTTAGAGATGTTTTCTGAGAGGTTTATAGTCATAGTTGTGTAATTTGGTGTTCTGATTATTTTGAGGCTTTCCCCTCAATGATGGAGCCTCAGATTAGTCATGGTGTTGCATAAGTGTCTCACAATAGAGCCAACCTCCTCTGCTTCCATCTGCAACATTAGGGTGCGTTTTTTAAACGTAAACTGATGGGTGACATTCATGTTGGGTTTTTTTTTTTTCTCTAGGATGCTGTAGAGCATCTTTCTCTATGGGAAGGTGTCTAATTCTCACTCCTTATCCATGGCTCTGTTCGAAAACCTAGTAAGTTGCCCACCGAGGCAGTAGTTTCAGGGATCTTTGAGTGTTCAAAATAGTATATTGCTAAACTATCCATCCATTCTCCCAACAGCTTGTCCTAAATAGGGTCACATGAGTCCTGGCGCTTATCCTAGCATCTCGGGACACCTTGAATGGATGGCCAGTCCATCGCAGGGCTGCACACATACTGGCAATTCAATCTCTTCTGCTCACCTATCCTGTCTGTCTTTAGATTGTCGGAGAAACCAAAGCACCCAGAATAAACCCAAACTCCACATAGAAAGACCTTTTGGCTTAAGTGGGAGCGGCAAAACTAGATATTACATTTTTACGAAAAGCGATGCTGATCCATGCAAAACCCGTAGCTATGTTACTAGGGTATTGTGTATGGTCATCAGGTTGTTGATATGTGGTTGGTAAGGTTTTCCGAGTGGTTTTTGACATATTGCCAGGTGTTTAGTAATTGGTCCAAATCAAAAGACTTCTTTAGAATCACTATAAGGGCTTGACATTACCATTAACCAACCCATCAAATGCAGGTGGATTTCATCAGTGGTGTTGTACGCAGTCTACTAGCCACTTTGGCGGGTTGAATTTTTAACCTCCCCTGAATAAGTAAACAAAATGTAGTGTTGTCAAAAATATTGAATTTTCGATACCGATACTGAAATATCTGAAACGCTTCCAACACTAATTTTGCGAATAGACACAGGATACCAGCTGCGCTTTCTCGTTCTGTCATCTCTCCGAAAGCTAGTTGACACACTCAAACCCGCCTCCTCTCACTCACTCATTTAATTTGCTCTGGATGAATATTGTTGGTGTTACAGGGCTTGAATTTCGCCATGGGATTTGGAACTTTGGAAAACCACTTGCCACTGGCTGGTGAGCTAAGAAGTTAATTTCAAGCCCTGATCACTATCATATTATAGGGTGACCAGAAGCCCCGAAAAATTCCTGAATATTATACTAAAGCTAAATCGTGAAATAAAACATTAAAAACTGTGGAAGTTGAGTCGTCCTCCAGCCAGCCCCCTCAAGTTGCAGCAGTCGCATCCGCGAGGACAGTGAATGTTCAGGCAGCCAGTCTAAACTTTTGTCTTTTTTTTTTTACGCGCGAATGGATTCAAAGTGTTCACGCGTATAAATAGACGCGGTAGGCGCAAATTTGACGCGCTATTCGCATCTGGAGTGATTGATTCGTCGCGTCACTGTGTGCAAAAAAAAAACTTCAGCCGGCCCTTAAAGTCTGATGTCGGGTTGCACTTGAAGCAAATCATCTACACAATTATTTCGTTTTTCTAATTAATGATCAACAATTTAGTTGTAATAATAATTTTGGCACAAGGCTTATTAGCGATAGGCTATAATGACGTTTGAGTTCATGATTTTAATGTTTTTTATTTTATTTATTTTTTGTGGGTAGACTAAGGACTAATGACAGACTGTTGGTCTTTGAATAAAAATATATGTTTTGTTCAGGTTTGAACCAAAACCTGACATACTGAACACAAATGTGTCTCTGAAAATTGGATATCTACTTTTAGGAAGGAGTCCTAAAACCCGTAAATAAGATAGTTTGCAAATTCAGTGTTTTTTGTTTTTTTTGTTTGTTTGTTTGTTTTTTGTTTTTTTTATTAGTTTTTGGTTTAATGACTGAAATAACAAAGCTCAGGATATATATGAAGAGTTCAGATGCAAAAGCCTCTAAATGCCATTTGAAATTTTCTTCTAGAATGGTCATTTTTATCAAGCTTGTATATTTAAGTTCAGTAATTTCACTTAAATGGCAATTAATAAGTAATTGCCATTTAAGTGAAATTACTGAACTTAAATATACAAGCTTGATAAAAATGATCATTTTAGAAGAAAATTTCAAATGGCATTTAGAGGCTTTTGCATCTGAACTCTTCATATATATATATATATATATAACATTTTTAAGTGGTCAAATGGTTCTCTGGGACATTGAACTTCATCACACCAAACATGTAAATTCATCTACTTACTAGTCTGCTTTTACATTCTTCCTGTGTTTATAAGCACGATCTTATAATGTTTAATGACACAGTCTAAATATTCTAACTCCAACATGTCGAATAAAAACTGAAAGGTTAATCGGAAGTTTTAGTGGTGGTGACATTAAAGTCATGCGTCCGTGGTGTAGTTTGTTTATAGCCCAATAATAGCTTTTTACTTCAGGCTTTATAAAAATCATGTTAATTTGTGATTATTATCTTGATGAACAAAATGTGTATGAATCAGAGACTTTTGTTAGTTACAGAGTGCATTTTCTGCTTTAATCCAAAAGCCAATTGAAAAATCCCATTGGCTTTTTGTTGAGGGTAATGCCAGTAAAATGTCAACCTTGGCCTACAAAAAGAGTTCACTTCTGTGATGATTCAGTGAATTTTTCCATTGAATGATGCAAACAAACAACTACTATGTTTGTTTCTGTGCATATTAGAATATTGAGTCATTAGCTTAGCCACATGTTAAACATCATACTCCTCAAGCAAGCTCAAGAGTGTTTTGAAAACAGTCAGTTATAATACAATCAGTTAAGATACTGCCGTAAATTGGCAAGACACCAAGTAGATGCTGAGACATGTCACTAGGGTGTGGAATGAAATAATCACTTTGTTTTCGCATCGCCCTCTCATCATGGATCTAGGCCATGAGCACCCTGAAGAAAAATCTAGCATTAAAGGTCAGCAGCATAAGCTATTTTGTTTTTCAGTATGAAATAAGTACAATGAGGATAAGACCTAAGACCTTTGGTAAAAACTGATAAAAATGACTTGACTTGATGACTTGAGGGGAAAAAAGTTCTTGAGGGAAAAACTAAATACTTGAAAGACTAAATAAGACTAAACGTTT